TCTAGTTTGTTTGATTAAGTTCCTTCTTCCGTCTTCTCATTCCCGAACGTTCTTCATTTCAACTATGAATAAACTTGCATGTATTCCCTCATCTCAATCGGGTGTATTATTTTTTTCTTCTTGTAAGGATGTGTTCGGCTAAAGACATTTCTTGATTTTCCTCTTTTGTTATGTGGGGGCAGTTTTCTACTGTGTTTTAGTATGTAAACATATGAATTGATGAGCATGGGAGGACTTATAAGGTTGTCTTCCTTCTGTGTGCTGGTAAGTTTTTTTTATTTATTATTATTGTGGCTTCTATGTGATATTTTATGGTTTCTTTAGCATGCCAAAATATAAAATTGTTAGACATGGGGCTTATGTGGCTCGTGCGTTCAGTTGTAATTGGTTATGACTTATGTGTGGGGTTTTCTAGTTTCTTTGGTATGTTGAAATATAAAATTGATGAGTATGGGGCTTATGGGGCTCTATTCTTTCTGTTTTGCATTCGGTGGTCATTGGTTATGACCTGGTGGCTCTCTTGGTTTCCTTAGTATGCCAAAATATGAAAGAAATAACATGGGGCTTATTGAGGATGGTTTTCAATTTGGTTTATTTGTTTTTTTCTTTCTTCTCGCTTAGTGTTTACTTTGCATTGCCTTCTACTTTGTTTTATTATTGATATTGCATTCTATTTAATAGTTCTTCACCTGTGAGTTGAAATAAGCAAATCAAGATAAGCTGATTTATCTGTTACTAGAGATTGAGAAGTTGTGATTATTCTTTATAAAACAAAAAACTAGTTATGAGAGAAGATTCTATAGGTGTCTCAGAAAAAGAACACTAGACACTTGTAACTTTTTTATATGGCCTCATGATTGTGAGGAATCCACTTTATATAGTGATCATGACTGAAGAGAAGCTTTAGCAAAAAATTTTCTAGCTTACTTGATAATTAGACATGAAGAGTAATGCTATAATAGCATTACTTATTGTTAATATAATTGTTAATTTTTTTTCCATGTGGTGTAAGTGATGTATTACTCTTGATGTTGTATCAAAATGGACTTCTAACTTTTTTTTTAGCTGCTAAAATTTATTCTTGTTATTTTGTGAACTATTTATGAAATTATGGACTTACACTTAACACATGTTCATAATGACATTATAATCTTTTGCCTCAAAAATAGCTGCAACAAAGCAGATCATCCAAACACACATACTGTTTTACTAATAATTACTTTCTAACTTAAGCTTTTTACATATTGAAATAGCTACAATTGCCCCAAACACATCCTAAGTTATATGATAGTCTTAATTCATTATCACATTGGGCCAAATCATACTCAAACTCAATCTCAAACAATTCATTTCAACATAGAATACTAAAATCTCAATATTTTATGACCGCATTTCTTATTAAATAAAAAGTGATCACACACACAAACACCTATATTATTAAATATCATATATTTTTATTTGCTTAAATTTAATTTTCCTAAAATAGTTAATTTATGGCCCTTCAAAATTTTTGGATTTAAAAATCATAATTTTTTACTAAAAATAGTGATTATTTTTTAAAATAATTAATTTATATCTTCATCAAAAAAAAAAAAATCTTTTTTTGCTCCATTATTATCTGCATATATAATATGTCAAAATATCCCATTATACAAACTTGGAACATGAGTATCCTATAATATAAATTCAAATATCAACAGATTATGACGGATCAATACAAATAAATCAAACGGGTAAATTCATAGTAAAAATAGCAGCCAACATAAAACAAGACAAAGAACTCTTAGTGAAAGCATATAAGAGAGGTGTTCAAATATCTTAGGAACAATTAAGGCAAGGTACAAATTTCTTGTTACTAAATCAAAGGACAGTAAATTTTTGAATAGATAAATAGCACTATTTTACCAAGAAATGTATAAGGATTTATGACATTGATTGATAAAAAAACTATTTTTTTAAAATAATAAATTTGAGTAGCATATTTAAAATTTATCAATCATCATAATTAAAAAGGGAAATAAAAGACTAATCAAGGATAGATAAGGTATTATCAAATAGCGCACTTACAAATATATCTGCTCAATGAGGCAAGAGTTTGAGGTCTAATATAATATCACTTGATGTATCCATTTGAATATGATATAAATATAACTTGTCTTTTATCACACTTAATTCTTAATAATACTATAAAAGTTTAAATATACTTAATGAATTACGAAAAGTAAAGCACATCTTAAAGGGCTCAATTTATAAACATATTTAGCTTAAGAGATATCTAGTTTCTACTCTTATTACTTTGATTAGCTATTTGCACAATGCAATGTTGGCAATGCTATAGAGACTTCATTGACATTATTATCTAATTTTTAAATAATAGGTAAATCATCGGGTAAAAAAAACTTCAAGGCATATAAATAATAGAGGCATTAATGCACCAACAATCCATAATCTATTAAATTATAACGAAATTCAAAAATGCCTTGAGTATGACGGTTAAGCCAACATTTGAATATTTTCTTATGAGAAGATTTGCAGCACCTTATATATTGAATGATCAGCACCATACACTTAGGAAGAGAATGGTAAATGATAGGTGATATGTATCATGGAAAAATCATTATCACTATTTACTAATTTTAAAGGCATTTTTATATAAATAGATACCTAAAAGAGACATCATATCTATGGAGCTATACAATAAACCATATTAACACCAAGTAAGCCACCAGTGAATAGATGTTTAGCTCGCCAAGTTTATGTAAGCTTATTATTGAAACATAAATCACTTAAAATTATTTTTTTTTTATTAACATCAAGAATTTTTATAAGATGACTGCGAAAGATTAATGTATGAATTTAGTGCTCAACAGGCAGAGGAAGCTTGAATGGATAGTGTGACCAATCAAAGTTCGATATATATAGAGAGGCTATTTGTGGAAAAATGAAAGGATAAATATTTTATTTAGGCCATAAAGGGTTGGCATATGATGCATGATATTCTTACTCTGGAGATGAAGTTGATTCAATGGATAAGCTAGCCAGAAGACATGTAGTAGGATTTTCTAAAGATATAAAGTTGCAAACAGTTTCTTTAATGGAAGCTTGGATGATTGTGTAATGAAACCTAGAATAGAGAAATAATAAGACAAAAGAAGAATGGGAAGATCAACTCATGAAAAATGAGCATGAGGATACGAAGGATGAATAGATGGAGAAGTAGTGTGCCATTGCGAGAGTTCATTATGTTAAGAAGTTTTTATTCTATTTGACAAATATTTGTAATTTTTATCTTTACAATGGATTTGATGATCATTATAATTTGATAAATTATTATGACAACATTATAAGTAATTGTAATACTACAAAAAAAGATATTATTTTTTATATGTTGCACATGTAAGAATTTACGAAAAATCAATTATCCACTTTTTTCATTATTTACAAATTTCCTTTGGAGTTTATGTGGTCATTCCATCACTAAGATCAATAGAGGGATACCAACAATAGAGTATTGGCCAAAAACATTTTTAGTGATTCATGGTGAAAACAACAATTTTGTTGGAAAATTTTCAACTAATTTCATTACTTTAGGCATAGATTTCAACAGTTTGTTTCACTTATAGAACATCTTCTTTTGTGATTGAAATGTCATTAATAATCCACCAATGCTAATCTCTGGTTGATTTTTCTCTTGAAGGAATGAATTTTCAACTAAGAAATTACTTTCAAATTAATATTCACTAATAATCCATAAGAAATTGATGTCTCTAAGGAAAAATAATAAATTATTATTATAATTTTCAATAAAATAAGACTATTTTCCATAGTGAGAAGACTCATCCTCTATGTCTCATGCTTCATTGAGTTTGTAATAAGGAGAGAGCTTCGAGACACTAGAAGTATTTATATGTTATAGAAGTCAAGCAGGACAATTTTATGTCCATTATCATTTATGTGCCTGATCATCCAAAATAGCCCATAAGGTCTTAACTTAAGCTTTTGCAAATGTTTTCAGCAATATTTTCTTTTTCAATAAAAAAAATCTACACTAGATAACCCACCCTTCTTTTAAGTGATTGCCTTTTCTAGATATTTTTTGGATTATTTTTGGAGCATCTATTAAAAAAATCAATATATTTTAGATCAACTAAACATCTATAAATATCATGTAAAAATGCATTCTAAAGAACTCAATGGGCAAAATTTATCAAATGACCCACCAAATGTAGTAAAAAAATCAAGATAAAAAACACATAAAAAAGTGTGTTAAGAGAATTATATACCTCATATGGAGCTAATTATTTCATTTAAAGATCTTTGGTTAGACTTCTACCCTAAAAGTTGCAATGAACTCTTTGGCAGTATATATTGGCTCTAATTTTTGAAATAGTGCAATTAAAGATTAAAGTTTGATTTAAAATATTTCATTTGCACTTCAAAATAAAAGGCACAACTAATATTTACTATCAACTCACATCTAAAAAATGACAAATTTTTAATTCTATTCAGGATTCTTAAAACCTGAATAAATCATTAAGGCAGACACATACTTATCAACCCAACAAATAATTTCAAATTTTGACAAAGAAGCAAGTTTTGTGCCTCATATTTCATATTCACATTACTTCCTAAAAATTCTCCATACATTTTTCTTATTCATATTGATTGAAGATAAAATGAAGAATCCCACCAGATTTCTCCCCTCTTGCCCACAAAGAAAAAGAAAAAAAACTAGACATCTTTCTTTAGTCAATTTGGGTAATCAGAGAAACATCTTAATTGACTCTAGCAAGAGATGCTTATTTCAAACCAACTAAAGTAATTCTTAATCACCTCCATAAAACACTGCTTTTATTCGGAAAGCACTGCCACCACCTTTCTTTCCAGCCAGCAAGAAAAAAGAAAAGAACAAAAGCAAAGCAAAGTTAAGTTGCAAAAAAAATAAATAAGTAAAGGTAAAACACAGAAGAGAGGTGCACAAAATATTAAAGAAAGGAGAGGGTAAATATGAGGTTCCTGGAAACAGTATCACTCCTTTCTCTTCTCTTAAATCACAGCCACAGAAACAAAGAAAGCAAGGCTTCCAAAGATTGACCTCAGGGTGGTAGGAAAGGGAGGAAGAAGAAAAGAAAGATAAAAGGAGTGAGGGAGGAAGAGCTTAAGAAAGCTCTTTAGAGTTTTCAGGAATGAATAAATCTGGTGTTTTTCAAGGCTCTCTTTTGCAGCAGCAGATGGTGGGAGGAAGCCCTTCATGGTGGAGCATGAACCATCTAAGACCTAATAATGGAGAAACCTCTCCTCTTCTCCACCCTCATGCTCTCCAACAACATCTCCAGCCCTCCAATTCTCTTTCCTTGAACTCTTTGTATGAGAGCCAAGAACTTCCACAATCATGGAGCCAACTGTTGCTGTAATTATATCCTCTCTCTCTCTCTCTCGCTCTTCGCTCTCTCTCTTATAATTCGTATAATTCGTAAGTCTACTTTTAAATAAGAAGATTAGCACAGTTAACTTCATCAATTTTCCTTTGCAATCTTATCAAAAAAAAATCAAACTAAGAAAAAAAAGCATTCTTTGATAAGAAATCACACCTTCCATGAAAGCAAGACATCAACTTTAATGTTTTCTCATATATAATTTCGAAGATTTTATAGTAAAAGAAGCTTATTTTCTGTTTTTATAATACTATCTTCCAGTGGGGGGTTAGTGGGCGAAGAAGAAAGGTACGGCCTTGGTACTCCTTTTAAGAAAACATTGAATTGGGAAGAGCAACTCATGCACCAATCACAAGGAGCTTATACTATTGATGTCAAGCAAGAGAACTCAGAGAGTTTGTACAGCCATGGAAGCACCAGTGAAGAAATCCAGCTTGCTACAGCCAGTAGAGCTTCTTGGAGTCAGATTCTACCAGTCTCTTCTCCCAGATCCTGTGTCACCTCAAGTTTGAGCTCCAATATGTTAGATTTCTCCAACAGCAAGGCTGAAAGAAAGCATCTTCCTCCAGATCACTCATCTGAGGTAATTGGTGTGTGTAAAAACCAAAGTGTTATCTTAGATTAATTGAATATATTTTCTTTAACTAAAAAACACTTTTTTATGGCATGCCTCCACATGTTCCTTGTTTTGATCTTGTTATCTTCTTCTTCTTAATATTATACTAGTGCAATAGCATAGAAACAGGTGCTGTTTCAAAGAAAGCAAGGGTTCATGGCTCCTCATCATCACAGTCCACTACTTTCAAGGTTTTCATATATACATTCAATTATATTCCTCCTTTAAAATTTATACAGCTTCTTTTTTATTTAAACTAAAATAAAAATTCTTCAACAGCTTCAAAACTATCATCAAAATATGTTTTTTATGATGCAAGTTAATAATTTGTGCTAAATTTTTACAGGTGAGGAAGGAAAAACTTGGGGATAGAATAACAGCACTGCACCAATTGGTTTCCCCATTTGGAAAGGTAAGAGATTATTTGCACTAAAGTACTAATATTTTTCACAGCAGTGCCTTTTTAAAGGTAGATGGGTAAGAGCAGGCCAAGTCCTATATTGGTGAATAAAACATACAGCCCTTTACCATTTTTAATAATATGTGCATATTTTGAATTTGATGTTACAAATAAAAGAGAAATGCTTTCTTTTTCAGACTGACACAGCTTCTGTGTTGCTTGAAGCCATTGGATATATCAGATTCCTGCAGAGTCAAATTGAGGTTCAATATTTCTCTCTTTATCTCTCTTTTTATCTTCTCTCTTTCCATAATTTTATTTTTCTTGTGTGGATGTTGATATGGAACACATCAAAAGAGATAGGATGAAAGATGATATGATCACACAAAATATATGAAAATATAGTCAGAACATCATCATTGTTTGAAAATACGATCTATAAATGTTATAATTTTTGAAAAGTTATTGCATCAGCTGTCCAATAAGAGGGGCTAAGATATAATTTGGGCTCAGTGACATACACGATTCGGGTCGAGATGACACCCTGTTATTGGACAGCTGATGCAAATTTATCACATTAGATTGTCAATCACCTTTGTGTTTGTTTTGCAGGCTCTAAGCTCCCCGTACTTGAATATTGCATCAAGGAAAACAAGACTACCTGTAAGATATCATTAAACCTAACCTCAACACCAAATTACTATAGGAAACGTGATGAATATTGAAAGAGCATCGGAAATTTACGGAAATAAAAGATATATTTTCATGAACATAACAAAACTTTAAAGTTTTATCTTTTATATTGTCTAGGTGAGAAGATCAAATTCATTCTTTGCTCCCATCATTGTTTCACTCAAACATGACAATAATAGCTCTCTTTTCTTAAAGCTATTCCCTTTTATTTAAAATCACAACTTTTAGTTTTAAAAGCCAACGGTCTTTTTATTGGTATATCATGCATGGCATTACAAAAATACCTTCCGGTAAAATAATTTACATTTTCTAAGTTAAATATATAAAAACATTCTAAGCCCAAGCATGAAATTGTTGAAGAAGGGTTTAGCGGTATTGAATGGAGACAAGCCTTCATCTTAAAATTTTCTATAAGAAATCTAAGACTTATTATAAGACATTTTCAATTAATGGGAGCTTGATGGAATTTTTCAGGCACAGGGAGAAAGGAGTTGTATATTTCCAGAAGACCCTGGTCAAGTATTCTTCTCAACACTGAATCTTAAGTTCTTCAGTTCAACGGACGCAATGCACCAGAAGGAATGGAGGGGAAAAAAAAACTGCCCTGGTGTATCTCGTTGGTTTGAGCCTAGAGTCCCTCAATATTTTTTCGTGGATTTAAGTGGTCGACGCAATGCACCAAAAGGAATGGAGGGAAAAAAAACTGGTCTGGTGTATCTCGTTGGTTTGAGCCTGGAGTCCCTCAATATTTTTTCGTGGATTTAAGTGGTCAAATCGGCACTATCATTCGCGAGAGAATATTGCATCCGGACTCCGGACGCAACATTCCAGAGTACAGTGAAAACTTGCCACTTAGCAAGTGGGTCCCACTATAATATATCGGTCCTCTTACCACGTGACAAGTTTTCACTAGACTACATACGTGGATGATTCGCGAGAGAATATTGCATCCGGACTCCGGACGTAACATTCCGGAGTGCAGTGAAAACTTGCCGCTTAGCAAGTGGGTCCCACTATAATATATGGGTCCTCTTATCACGTGACAAGTTTTCACTAGACTACATACGTGGATACAAAAAATTTTAATCATCCACACCTACAAATATGAGCACTCAATATTTTCTTCTTATTTTGAAAACTTACACTCTGAAACCAACTTAGCCAAAGTGGCTTAGCACCTCTGAATCAAACTTGAGTTCCTTAAAAGAAGAGGACAAAATTTAACGATAACTAATAAACCCTTTAAGATCTACAGCTGCTTTTTCATATAAAAAAGGACATTGAGAGAGAGCTTTACAGCCTTTGAGGCTTCTCTCCGAAAATAAAGCTAAAAGCTTTGTTTTGCTTTATTTGACACTAATATCTTTGCTATGGTACCATCACAGTTGTTGAATGATAATTGCATGAAGAGAGGTCCAGTTGATCAGGTAATAACAGCCATTAAGTGTGTTATGCAGCATATCAATCAATGTCATGTTTAAATTTTATGTCGAATTAGTTCTTTTAATTTCTATGTTATTTTCTTATAAGAAAATAGATAAATTAGTATTAAAATAAAAATAAGCATTTATTTGCTTATTTTCTTGGATAGTAATAGTAAGCTTTATATATAAAAAAAAAAGGAAAATTCGTTTAAAAATACTATGTTTAATATTAAATACATGAATTTAAAAAAAAAAACAATAAATTTAAGGTTTAACAGCCCTTAATTTGTATTTATAAATGTTTCTTGACTTGTAGATATAACTTGAGAAATAAAATGTCACTTTATATATATATATATATATATATATATATTGAGATGATTGATTAAACTTAAATCATAATAAATATTGGTTAATTATTTTCTTGCATGATAATATTTATTAGGACGGCAATGTTGAGATAAAAAAGGATTTAAGGAGTAGGGGACTGTGCCTGGTTCCAGTATCATGTACATTACATGTTGGCAGCGATGATGGAGTTGATTACTGGTCTCCATCAATCGGTGGATGCTTTCGATAGGCTCAACTTGGACTTCAAAAGAGTTGAATTAATGGTGGATATATCATCAAGAGCAGTCACTCTGTTGGAGAAGAAGAAGAAGATTGACTGCTCTTGATGCTATGCACAAGTTATTTAAGAATCTTAGGGGGGGGTGGGGGTGATGAGGAAGCTAAAATGATGTATCAGCTTATCACACTTTTGATTTGAAGATATGTACTTCTTTTGTAAGAAACATTTTATTTACTTTTAATGAATGCCACTTATATGTACAACATTGGTCAATTGGAGACTGTGATAATTATTGTTATTGGTGGTTATGTTTATATCGATCATTAAAAAACTATTAACTTTGAAAAAACATATATATATATAATATTGTGTGATCCTATTTGAATTTTGCAGTTATGGGAAGATGGATATGATTTTTGATTTAGGAGAAATCATTACAAAGAAGAGTTCTCTTGATTGAGTAAAGTTGTTTCTTCAAACAATCTAACTTTGTTGTTGTAGAAATTAAAAAAAGAATGTTTATTTATAAATGTGCACATAAATATTGATGATGTATGTCTACCAATATATCAATATTGTAGATAAAAATTGCATGAAAATTTCAAAAATTACCAAAATGTTTGAAAATTTTCCAAGAAGGGTGCAAATTTTCTCTTTCTACACTCCTTCATATACTATAGAAAAAAAGAGCTAAAACCGATGATAGAACCAACGGCCTCAATTGAAAAATCTTCTATTTTTCGATTATGATCTAGATTATTTACGACAACATAACTACAAGACAAGCAGTCACTTATCGACAGAAATATTTTTTTGACTTTTTTTAATTATTACCGACGTATTAAACAGTTGGTTATAAGCAAATATTAACCAATAGTCATATTTCGTCAGTTATCTTAGAATCTGCAGATAAATTAACGACACATATTCTTAATAAACAATTTTTTCCCCGTCGTTAATAGTGTTAAGAACCGATGGATTTAAAGTCGCTTATTAGTCGTTAGAAATAATCCATCAAATCACCTAAATTGTGGCCCTCCCCCTCTTGCCCTAGTCATCTCCCTCGCTTACTCATCTCTCCTCGAAGCTCTCTCCTCCCCGAAACCATCGCATCTCCCTCCACCCCCTCTCCGTTTCATCCAAAATCATTGCATTCATTATTGAACCCTCATGAGATCGTCGCAATAGGATCTAGTTGGGAAAGCATTGACAGGAATGTGGCTTACAGTGACTGAAAAGTCCTAATTTACTCTTGCATCTGCTCCTCTCCTATCTGAAATGACTAAAGAAGTTAACTTCTCCTTATTTTCATTTTTTATTTTCATTTCTTTCGAGGAATGCATTTAGGAACTAGAAAAAAATTTGATCAAATATTTTCCTATTTTAGTTGGATTACATGAAAGATTGGCTTTAAGCCCAATATGTTTTTTTGCTTTCATTATGGATGCTCTTTCTATACATTTACAAGAGAATGTAACTTGGTGTATGTTTTTCGTCGGCGATATCTTTCATGTGGATAAGACTGCAGAAAGAGTTTAGGAAAACCTTAAACTGTGAAGGATGACATTGGAGTCTAAAACCCATCATTTAAGTAAATCTAGAACTAAATAGATGAAATATAGTTTTAGTGGTAGTAGCTCTAGTAACAGAGTTGTAACTACGGATGATCAAATCATTAAAAGGTGTGAACATTTTAGATATCTCGGGTCTCTCATTCAAAGTCATTCAAAGTTTAGGTGATATAGAAGGTGATATAGACGGGGATGTGATTAATAGATGTCAAGTTGTTTAGTTTAAGTGGAGGAATGCATTTGGTCTAGTGTATGATAGAAAACATTGTTTAGCCTTAAAGGAAAAATTTTTAAGATGGTGGTGAGACCTATATTGTTCTATGCTATTGAATGCTGGCCTTTAGATTAAGGGGTTGTTCGGTTGAAAGTAGGATTTATTTTGAATGGATTTTAATAAATTCTGCAAATCTGAATCAAATCTTGAGTTACGTGCCAAATCCTTAATAGAAGTTAGTTCGAAAAATGATAATTGCTCGGAAATTGATTCTATGTTTGACTCGAACATGAAACTTGAGTTGAAATAAACATGTCGAGTTATGAGCCAAAACTTTGGATCAAATTTATTTGGAACCTACACTTCAAATTTTTTTTTGAACCTAAATCTTCTTGCCTCGAATTTGGATCATTTAACATCTTAGTAATATTAGTTCTGTCAAAGATCATTAAACAATCAAACAGTGGCTCGTAATTGTTTAATACATCTCCCTCTAATAGCGTATGACATTGTAGCTACCCCAACCCTCTCCTAGATATATTTGTTTCATATTTTATCTCCAAGTGAAAAGTCAATCGCAAATCACATATGAATCACTGGCTTTACACTTGTAGAGAAAATGTGAACAAAATATATTCATGAACGAGTTGGTGTAGCTATGGGGCAAACAAGATTAGAATTTCAAGTTCAACTATTGTCGACTATAAGGAAATCCAATGTAAAATTAAATCAATCAATTTTTGAGCAGTAATTGTTATTTCGTATTAAGAAAAAATAATTCTGACAGTCTATTTAGACTTCGTGATGTCTCTTTCTAATATTTTATGCAACTGTAGCTACTCCAACCCTATCACGGGCATATTGGTTTCATATTTTGTTTCTAAGTGTAAAGTTAATATTAGAACTAACATTATTATCATCGCAGCCCTTGACGCAATTAACTGCACACCTGAAAATATGCTCTTAGTAAGAAATATTTCATATGATGTAAGATTTTTCACTGTATCCTCTCCATGCGAAGTATAATTTTCACAGTCATAATGAAAATTTACTTCGAAATCTAATTTGACAGTTCTAAGCTTGAAATGCACATCAAAAATCCAAATTTCATTGCCGAAATTCTCATTGGCAATGCAAATTAGATCTCAAAGTGAATTTCCATTTTGAAACTGACAACTTAGATTTAAATGTGAATTTTCATTCATAATGTAGTGAAAACTCTTAAATCATATCAAATATTACCTTCTAAGAACAAATTTACAGGTGTGCAGTAAATCATGTATGGGGTTTGCGGTGATGAGCATGCTTAGTGTTATAATTGGTTTTGCATTTAAAAAATAAAATGTTAAAGAAATAAACTTATACAATGTTTTGGTGTAGCTATGGTGACAAATAATATTAGATTTAAAAATTAGATCAACTGCAATGCAGATTGTTTCATATTTTTGTGATATTAGTTCCATTGAAGATCATTATTGGTCGACATTGATTCTAAATCCATTAAGATGATTCCATCTAATATTGTATGCCATTGTAGCTACACTAGTCATTGTATAGATATATTTTTCATATTTTATCTTTGAGTGAAGGGTCAATCATAAACCTATGCATCCTCATCCTTGTAACTTTTAATTAGACTCTTAAAACATCATGTGAAAGTGGTCTAGTAAGAGATGTTGAGACAAGAATACTTAGATGGATAAGTGGCTTTACACTTGTAGAGAAATGTGAAAAATATACTCTTGAAAGGGTTGTAGCTACAGTGACATCCAAGATTAGAGAAAATATGGATAATTTTTGTCAATAATCAGTCTTTGATAACCCTGACAGCCTCGGTAGGCTATTAGCATTTTGACTTCAAAGCAATTTAAGACGTTCACTCCTTTTAAAATGCATTGATTATTGTCATGTTTTATCATATTTTATTACAAATCGACCAGTAGATCTACTAAAATAATTAAATACAATGTATTCAGCTGAATGCATTTTATAATGTGTTTAATATTCTTATATTTGAAGGAACACATGGATATTTGTACATTGAGATCGTGGATGTACGACTTCTATCCATATAGAAAAGGGATCGCATAGGAGTTCTTGAATGGTGTCAAGAAATTTGTGGCAGCTGCTTCTCAACTACTAGTATACCTATTTGAGTATACATATGACGTGACATCAGAGAAGATCAGGAGAAAACAACTCAATGAGTCATCCAGCATATAAGGAGGCATGAAAATCTTTTGATCACTCATATCCTGAGTTTGTCTCAAAGGCACATAACGTCCGACTAGGTTTATGCTATGACGATTTCACACCATACGATCAGACCACATCACCCTACTCTTGTTGGCTAATGATTGTTACACCACACAATCCACCTGCTGAGATGTGCATGATAACCTCTTTCTTCTTTCTGACACTGATTATACTTAATCTCGGTAGCACTAAAGAGAGGATTAAAGTATATTTGTAGTTATTGATAGATGAGCTACAAATTCTTTTGGGAAATAGGTGTCATAACATGTGACGTCTTCAGGAAACAAAATTTCCTGATGAAAGCAACATTAATGTAGACAATAAGTGATTTTCCTGCATATGAAATGTTATATGGGTGGAGAACTGCGAGAAAGTTAGCTTGTCCATTGTGCATGACTTTATCTAAGACATTTATGCTTCAACATGAAAGGAAGTATTCACGGTTTGACTGTCACTGTATGTTTCTAGACAACATGTTAGAAGGAACATGAATGCCTTCAAAAAAAATAAAATTAATAAATAATCGTCACCTCGAAGAATATCTGAGGAAGATATATTTCAAATTGTTTGTGACATTCCAAAGATTACTGCATGCCTTGAACTTTCTTCACATCGTCCACCTGAATTTGGTGTCACTCATAATTGGACAAAGAAGTCAATTTTTTGGGATCCACCTTATTGGAAGGATAACATGATAAGACGCAATTTGGAAAACATGCACATAGTAAAAATATTCTTTGACAATATTTTCAACACTATGATGGATATTAACAATAAAATGAATGATAATGTGAATGCCATACTTGATTTCAAGGAGATATGCAAAAGTCGAGAGTTAGAGATCCAAGAAACTGCTATTGGTAAGCTCATTAAGCCCAATGTAAAATATTCCCTCACTTTGCCCCAGCGAAGAACAATTTGTAAGTGGCTCAAATCATTAAAATTCTCAAGTGGGTATGTTTCGAATTTGTGTCGTTGTGTTGATGTGAGTACTGGAAAATTTTTTGGAATGAAAAGTCACAACTATCATATTATTTTTACAAAATTTGATGTCAATTGTATTTGGCTATTTGTCGAGCAAACTCTTTAATCGATTAATTGAAATCAGTGTGTTCTTCAAGTAACTATGAAGCTTGACGGCATACGTCAGTTGGAAGCAAACATTCTTGTAATACTTTGCAAGCTTGAGAGAATATTTTTGCCTAGTTTCTTCAACTGGATG